GAGTTTTCAGTGCCACGAAGTGAAACWTCACCTTAGTRCATGATGAAAACAAATGCRGAATTTACCTAAAGAGCAGAAATATATATTTATATTTAATTGAAATTAAATAGTATCTGAAAGTAAGTGCTATAAGGCAGCTTCTGTTTGAAGAAGCGGGGCACAGAATTTTTCGGTGCGTGGTTTAAGCCTCCCAGAGAGTTCTCGAGCTCCTCGTTTCTCTGAATTCGCACCCCGAGAGTTTCGTTTTGACGGCTGCAGGAAGCCTCTCACACCACAAGATGTCTCAGCGAGGAAAAGCCGCGTTTTCTACAAGCATTTCTCAATAGTTTTACTCAGTTTTCTGCTCTTTGCCTTGGTTTTTTCTTAGTGCTTGACAGGAGCTTTTCAGCAGCGCCCGAGCACGCAAAGCCTGGACCAATTTACCCGTTAGCGTGGGCAAGAAATGGGTATTTTAAATTATCAATGATGCAAATGACTCAGTGGAAAACCTGAAGCTGCAAAAAGGGAAGGCTCAATGTAGGTGACAGCTAAGAAATGTGAAAATTTTCCTGTGCAGGTTAAATGGGAGAATTATTTGAATTAAACTTTCTTTAATTTCCACAAGGTCTGACTGTAGTAAGATGCTATATATTTTTAATTRTTYAWMCTCAGGATTAATATTATTTASARTTACTATAAAGAGACAGTTATTTGCGTTATATTTTCTCCACGGTTCCATTATCTTTGGGCCCCACGTTATTTTATCTGTGAAACTGTTGCCTTCAGCGTGTAAGGTTCAGTGAGAACACAGGGAAGTTCCCCCTGTGAGCACAGGGAGGGTTTGCACACATGAAATGTTGACTTTAAAAGAAGAGCAGCTTCAGTTTTTGCTCCAGAATGCAAAGCTGATGGCTGGGAGGGGATTTTTTTTTTCTTTCCATTTCTTTGTGTATCTCCAGCACTCAGTACTTCGCCGTGAGAATTTTCTCAGTTTTCTCTTCCCTTTTCCACTGTAGTGCTGTAGTTTATTTTCCCCCACTTCCCCTCCTTAAATTCTTTCTCTATAGCATCCTTTTTTTAAATTTTGTTTCACCTTTCCAGAGTAATTCAAGCTGTGTAAATAACTGATGAGCACACAAGAATTGTGCGACAACCTATAGACATTTATGTACATTAAACCTTACTTTGTAATTCCTCAGCAGAGGAAAATCCACGAGAATTCAACCCAAAGTTATTTCCTTGTGTTGGGAATAACTGATGGCTCTGAGCATGAGACAAACATTAATTGATCACATATTAATTAAGCTGTTTGCAGAATATCTTTTTCTTTGTCATCCAGATGATCTGAGGGTTTCTGGCAGGAATTTGGGATGGCCCTTCAAGCAACAGAACTTCTCTGAATCCTTCAGGGAAGGTTGAGAGACTCCCATTCTCATGATTAATGTGTGTGCTTTAGATAAAGTAACTGCAAACGACTGATGAAGGCGCAGTTACCTTTTAACAGCCAAGCAGAATTTCAAAGGAGAATGGCCTTTGTCTGGATCGATAAAATTGTTGCTGTAATTGCTAAAACCAAACAATATGCATGGCTCAGGTTTCAGAGCCAGCTGGTTTATTGAACTCACGAAATTACTGATTTTAGCAGATATTTCACCAGAATCAGGCTATTTATAGCAGTAATATAAGGATTAGAAACTTCTACTTGGCCAGGCTAACCAAAAGGGTAAAAACAAAGTAAAACAAGTCAACAAAAGGTAAAAAAAAAGCAAAAACACAGAACAAAAAAAGTGATCTTTGTACCAAAGAAAGCACCTTGTAAGCTTAAAAGGGAACAGATGAATAAATACAAGGAGAACAAGGAAATAATAAAAAATACTCATTAAAAGCTACGGGGCCATAAAGCATTGTCAGCAGGTTTGCATAGCTGGTGGGAAAGGAGTGCTTGAAGGAAGGAGCTGCCAGAAAACAATGAGCTGGGGCTGGAAATGTCTTCGGGTCACGCCAAGCACGAGGAGTGGCGTGAGAACAAACCCAAAATCCCAGTGGAGATGTGAGCACAAGGCCATGGGAGCTGGCACTGCCATTGGGGTACTGGGGCAGGACAGGGACAGCGAGGAAGCTCTGCTGTGGTGAGGGGACACCGAGGTGACAAAGGGGAGGCATCTCCTGCTCCAGGACCACAAACACCTCGAGGGTGAGCAGGACCAGCACAGGAGCAGCTGCGGGACAGAGTTTTGGAGAAACTGCAACCCAGATAACGCTCAGTTTGCTAAACCCCCTGCCTTCAGAACCAGATGGGTCTGGCCTTGGTGCTGCCCGTGAATTTCCATTTGCAAATGGTCCCTGCAGCTGGTGTGTGCTCAGCAAACCTCCACCCGCCGAGTTTACATCCCAAATCAGCGAGTTTACATCCCAAATTACCGAGTTTACATCCCAAATTACAGAGCCCTGGCTAATCCAGGCTGTGGCACTGGAGGAGATGCATGGCCAGAATCCCAACAGGATACCAGAGCTCATTAAAGTGGAAGAGCTTTATTGCAGCTGCAGAGCTCAGCAGGGCCATTGACTGGGGAGAAAAACTGTTTGAAGTGCCCACAGCTCTCCAAAGTGGTGGTGTCTGCTCTGCAGAGACTCAGAACTTGTTTGGCACAGGAAGGGCTTTCTTTTGGTTCAGTTATCTGAAATGAGATGGCACAGAGACATTTGGACATTTCTGATATTGGAAAAGCCTTGTCCTGCATTCCTCAGACACTGCACTTCCCTTGGAGTCTCAATTATTGGGAAAGGATCTCCCAGACAAAGCAGGAGCGAGTGCTGCTGTCCAAATTTGCAATGGCTTCTTCTGCTGCTCCACACCTTCCCTTAAAATGGTATTTCATCCCCTGGAACCATGTTCAGTGAGTTCCATGAGTTATTTCCAAACTCAGAGAGCTCTTTGTGAATTCAAACCACGGGGATCTGATCAAGGAATGGCCACCAGGCCAGGCCCCCATGCTCTGGCTTTGCCAGCTTTTCAATGATCCATCCAAACACATCTGGAGAGGGCACAGAGTCCTGCAGGCTGTGGGTTCCCAAACCCTTCTTCCCCTCGGGATTCCCAATTTCAGGTGTGTTCCACTCTTTTTGTCACATGGGACTCTTTTTGTGTTCCACTCATTTTGTCATGGATTGCTCCTCTGCCAGCACAAAGGAACAGGCGCAGCAAACTCTGCAAGGGATATGAGCAGAGATCAGAGGATTTGAGCCCTTTAACTGCAAACCCCTTGCAGGAGATGGCCAGAATACAGCAATAAAAAATGCAAACCAGCAGGCTGAGCTAAGGAAAAAACTTCCCAAACCTGAAGCAAAATAAATGGCTGACCCCAACTCTTCAAGACCTTTCAGCCCATAAAAAGCTTTCAGCTCTCAGGCTTCAGCTCCACTGCCTCAGGGATCTTCATATTCCAATTTCTCACCATCTCAAAGCATCCCCAACCCTTCAAAAATTCTAATTTTTTTTTAGTGAGTAATCTATAAAAATTCTAAATAGTAAAAGAACCCAAACTTATCTAGGAATAAATTATCACAGTGCTGTGGGTTGGATTTTAGACTAGAAGGAGTCCTGAAACCCCAAGACAATTCTGCTYTCAGTGTTCAGCCAAGCAGCCAAAAGCTCAAACTCTTCACAGGAGGCTGGAGCTGGAAAACACCTCTGGAACTCCCTGGCTATCGATTTTATCAGGAACACGTGATGGGATCAGATATCCAACAATTCCCAGGCTTCCAGCAGCACCCTGGGGTGAGCCTGGGGCAGAGCTGAGCCACAGCTCCACTTCCTCTGCACCTTCCTGCCCACGCCACTTCCCAAAAATTTCTAAGTATCAGGGAGATTCCATGATTTGAGCTCCACGATTTGAGCTCCACGATTTGAGCTCCACGTTTTTAGCCCCACGTTTATAGCTCCACATTTTTAGCTCCACATTTGATCTCCCCAGGGATCAGCCCTTTGTGTCTTATCAGCCTTGCCTTTCTCGTGGTCACTTTTCTCTGTCTCACTAATTTTTTAAAATTCAACTTTCAGGTATCTAATTCCTCTGAGAACCTGTGCCTCCAGCCAGCTTGACTGATATTTATTTTAAAGCTTTAAAATAATTCCATAAGGTTGGGGTCTCCTTGGGCCTGCCTTCACTTCTCTGGGAAACCAGAGCTCTTAGAAAATTCAATTTTTAAATACTTGATATTCTGTAAAGTGAATGGAATTGAGTTTATTCCTTTCCTTTGAAGCCTAATGTAAAATATTCCTTCAAGTTGATGTGTCATTTAGTTTAATTTGATAACCTGCAGGAGGGCCTGTGTGCCTGAGAGCTCATTCTCATTCTGAGCTGTGTGAGCTGCTCTATTTCACGACTTTATTTCTCCCTTCAGAACTTGCTTCTTGGCTAATTAGAGACCCTGCTGCACCCTCATTAAATCTCTCCAGAGTGTTTCTCCCTGAGGAAGTCCTGAGGCCACAGCACTAAATCCTGGTTTATAACAGACCCACGATTCAATTCAGAGAGTTCCATATGACACGTGCAAATGATTATAAATGTAAATATGAAATATCACATTTTAAACATTGAATTGTTTGGCTTAGAAACCTGATGTTAACGACTTCGAAAGATCTTTTTAGGGACAGATGACATTTTCAATTGAGCCTAAATCATCAGAGCAGGCAGTGAGAATTCCAGACACTTGTTCTGCTCTGAGCAGTGGAGTCTCAGCATGACTCAGGATGCAGCCCCTGGTAATTAATTGGTCTCAGTATTAATAACAGCTTCCATTGAGAAACTTCCCTTTGTTTACTATTTCAGCAAATTCACCTGATGATTTTTTTTGGCCTTTGAATAATCTCCGCATGAGACAGCCGGGTATGTCTGGGTGATTTTATTGCTGCTTCACCCTTTTATAACTTGACATTCCTGTCTATTAGTAAGAACAAAATGTAAACATCCTCCTTCCTCCCGACTTCCTTGGGGTGATCCTGCCACAAAAAAAAAAAACTAGGGGCTCAGGAGGACCCCAGCCACAACTTCCATGCTTGGAAATGCCCACAAAACCCTGGGGTTTGGCTCTGCCCTGTGCTGAGGCCACACTGGGCTCCATCTCCTGTCCAGAGGGAAATCCAGCAGGGCAGGAATGAGGGAAGCAGCACTCGGATATCTGGGACAACGGCACAGGCAAGGAGCACATCCTGCTCGTCACAATCTCTGCAGGAATTGTTTCTAGGATGCAGAAACCTCCAGCAAGTTCTCTGAGAGCTGAAGCTCTAACCCCACTCCATTTTTACATGAGAAAAACATCCATGGAGCATTTATTACAATTATTGGGTCATTGCTGACTGAGCAGCTTGGCTGGTTTACACCTTAACAAAATTGATTTCAATCTGCATTGATTTAAGCATAACTTGAACACTGCTCACCTATTTTGTTTCCACCTGCTCAACTGCCCCTTTCTCATCATTCAATTTCAACTGAATAAGCCCAAGTCAATAAAAAAATAATAATAAAGTGCTACAGAGTCCTATTTCAGGTATGAGATATCCCATCAGGTACATCAAGTATCTGCAGGTATAACAGGATTTCACATTGTCCAAGTTCTTTATAAATATTTACCAAGTCCTTTATAAATATTGATATGTAAAAATTCTCCAGAATCCAGTCTTTCCAGACTTAATCTGTCCAACAAAATCTGTTCACAGTCACCAGAATTGGAAGGTAGAAATTCTTAGAGGGTATTGAATTCCTTCAGGCTGAAGGTCTCCTTGGACCTGCTGAACTGCTTGGCAAAGGTGGACACTCTCTGGAAAGCTTCTTCCAGCCCTTGTCCCGTGATGGCACAGCAGGGCTGCACGTACCAGTTCCTGTCACTGCAGTACTTCTTCATCTTGAACTTCCTGGTGATCTCCTCAGCGTTCAGAGCTCCGGGCAAATCCTGTTTGTTGGCCAGCAGGACCACTGGGACGTTTTTGAGAGATTCGTTCTTTAAAACGAGCTCAAATTCTCTCCGTGATTCCTCCAGCCGGCGCTTGTCCGAGCTGTCCACCACGTACAGCAGCCCGTCTGTGTCCTCCAGGAAATTTTTCCAGAGCTCTCTCATTTTCTTCTGCCCTCCAACATCCCAGAAGGTCAGCGTGAAATCCTTCCCTGCTTCGATCATATCCACATTGAAGCCGATGGTTGGCATTGTCAGAAAAGCATCTTTATACCTGAACCTGCAGAGCAGCGTGGATTTCCCCGCAGAATCCAGCCCCAGCATCACGATGTTGGCTCGCTTCACCGAGGCTTTGGTGTGCTGGAGACCCATTTATCCCAGGAATTCCCAACTCCAGCCTGGAGCTGGGATATCTCCCCGTGTCGTGGAGCTGAGATGTGAAAGATGCTGCCTTTCCTCGTCCTGAGGCAGGAGAAGAGGCAGCTCTGAGCTCGGAAGCAGCCAAACCTCTGCACAAACACACGCTGCTTTTATGGACTGGATAAGAAGGCAGGAGGGTTTGGAGGGTGCAGAGCTCCGTGCCAAGCCTGTGGGTGGGTCTGGGATGAGTAACCAGCACCCGGTGGCACAGGCACAAAGGTTAGCAGCGTGTTCAAACAGCCACGCTGCTCCCTGCGCCAGGGAAACGGCTGCTGTGCCTCAGGGAGAACCCCCTGTGTGTTCACATCCATTTGGGGAGAAATGAAATAAGGACATGAGCAGTGAGGAGGGGAGATGGAAGGGTTGGATGTCATTATCAAGGCACAGGATGGCCAGGTCGCTGATTTATCAGTGTGTCTCATCTCCCTGCAAACTGGGACCTCTAACGAGAGCCTGCCCAGACCCTGGACCTGAGTTCCACTAAAGCTGGGCTCTGCTCCTGCCTCAGGCTGCCTCAGTGACTCCTCCTGCCAGGGCTGTAAACTCAGGGACTTTGTTTGTGTTGTTTGGGACCGAGTTTAACTGCGTCCTGCCAGGTCAAGACTAAATATAGGCCTTGTGACCGGGTCATCACCGAGGCGCCACCGCATCAAACTCAAAATCCCGTTACTTTCATTTCACTCTATTCTCTGTTTGCCCAATGAAGATTTCTTTCAGGAAAGGGACAACAAGYGAGGAAATAACYGAATCTTGATAATTTTCTCGCCACYATTCTAAACAGCAGARTWWACCAAGAGGAGATAGAAAATTTAGTCTGTTATTAATGAACCCCTGTTGCCTCTCTGTTTTTCTGACAATGGATGCACACTGGGCCACTCTGACACATCCTGAGAGCTGCACTGCTTGCCCTTACACCCAGGAAACCATCCCTCTTTGCTTCAGAAAATCCAGAATCAGCAAAAAGATGTGAAGGTCTTGTGGCCAGAGGAGCTGCTGACTGATAGGACAATCATTCTGATAATTACGACATTGGGTTGCGTAAAATCCACCTCAGCCCTGACAGACAAGTTCTAATCTGGTTTCTCTCGAAGTTAAAAGGGTTAGACCGGGACTAATTGGGGGCAACAAGACATGACAGTGACGTACTCACTGCTGTGCATTTTTCATCGTTAATAACACCTAATAGGGATTCTCTGTAGGGTTTTTTTCCAGCAGCAGGGCAGGATGTATTAAACCAGGGACAGAAAAACATTTGCATTTATTTTAAATAAAGTACATGGATTAATTGAAAGATGAGGAGGCGGGAAACTCTGCAAAACCAGTTTTAATGAATCAGATGGATCAGAATTCCCTGGATTCCAATAAAATATGGATATCCTGAGCAGAGCAGGGATGGATGGTCTGTCCCCAGCTGTGGTTTGAAGAGCACTCCAGTTCTCTGCTCTGGGTTTGCTCCACCTGTACTGGGTGTTTATGGTCACRAGTGTGGTTTCACTTCAAACGGGGATCAGACACAGCCTGTGTTTTTATGAGATCAATTTTATGAGATCATTCATGTGCTGGCCAGGCAGGACAGCGGGGCCTCTGCAGGCTTCTCACTGCACCAGAGTCCAGAGAGAGATCTTRTTGGAAACAGTGGAAAAGTGAATATTGGGGTTGCTCATCTCTGGGCCAAGGGACTTGGAAACAATACATCTCTGTGAGTGTTGAACTGTGTAAAGGAAAAAAAAAAAACCAGTAAAAGGATGTGTGTTTGGAATATTTTCCTTGGCACATCCTGGCCAGTAAATCCAGTAATGCCTGATTCTCTGTCACTTCAAATGGAGTGTTGGAGGGTTTTTATTTTTTTCCCAGTTTTTGGTAACAATCTTGTAGTCCAGAGCTGCTCCCTATCAGGATTCCCGGCGTTGCTTTGGAGCCCCTATCCTGTGTGGGATCAGAGGACAGAGCACCACACAGCCTCTGCTGTCTGTTCTACCCCTGAGCTGCACCTGAGCCCTGGAAAGGACAGAACCTCCACCTCTGCTTCACCAAAGTTGGGTTTGCTCTGCCAGCCCGGGGCTCTCTCCTCTGCCTTGAATTTGCGTTTAAATTCACCTGCAAACCGCGGAGTAATAAACCCGGGTTTTATCTGATTTAACCCCAGCTAACCCGAGCTCCAGCCCTGCACAGTAACCCTTGGTAAAACCGGCAGCTTGAYAGAAACCGTGACATTCCCAAATTGGGAAACTCGGGCAGCACATCCCAGCGAAGGTGTGATGGATGCACTAATTAKGGAATGAATCCTCCTTGGGGGAGCTGCCAGCGGCCCGGGCACGAAGGGGAAGGGATTTCCACTCGCTGCTGCCGGCTCTGCTTCGCTCCGAGCGCTGCCGGAGAGAATTCCCGGGGGAGGCGGAGGAGCGGGGGCCGCTCCTCGGGGAGGCGGAAGAGGAGGCGGCCGCTTCCCGCTGCTGCCGGAGCGCCGGGCGGGGACACGGTAAAGGGTACGGGGATGGGATGGGAAAGGGAATGGGAAAGGGATGGGAAAGGGATGGGAAAAGAGAGCACCGCGGTCCCGGTGGAGTGAGGTGGCTGCAGGGGCAGCCGAGCGAACCGCGGCGTGAGCGAGCCCCGAGCGCCGCTCCGGTGCTGGATTTGAAGGGAAAGCAGAGAAATGCCTTGAAATGGGTGCGTGGATTCGGCAGAGGGCGGCACAGCCCCTCGCAGCCATCCCGGATCTCCCGGTTCATCCCCGTGCTGGGAAAAGGTGCGTGGAACGGAGAGCGGGGATGGCTTTGGCAGAGGGGAGCGTGTCGCTGTTGAAGGTCCTTTAAACAAAAATCTCTAAGTTTTGTTATGTTAGAGCATTGCAGACCGGGACCTTGCGAAATTGCCTCCAGTTTCGATTTGGTTTACGTTTAGAAAGGCACAATCGGTGGCTGGGTTGGCGTGGAAGGACCTTAAGGATCACCTCGTCCCCACCCCCTGCCATGTGCACCTTCCTCCAGGGCCCGTCCCACCTCGCCTTGAACAGGGACAGGGATAGATTCCCAAATTATTTCTGTTGGCAGCTTTAAAAACGATTTATTTTATGATACATCTTTCATTATGGTATTGTAAAATCTTTATACTCTGGGCTATTGCTTATGATAATTAGTAATCTTTAATGAATATGAGGATTTGCTGCCTTTTTCCTGCCAAGCATGTCCACACTCCAYAATTCCCTACCTGCAGCAGAGTGGGGATCTGAAATCCCTGTGGAGCACTCTCAGCCTCGCGTTTGTTTCAAAGTTCACCAGTTTGATCTGTTGGCACCATCTCGGTCTGTCCTGCTGGGMCACCTTGGAGGGAAATTAAAATAATCCCCTGGAAGGAGCAGTTCCTGCTGCAGCTGCTGAGCACAAATGGAAGGGGAAAACTGCCAGCAAAAAGTCTGGAAATGTAAAAAAGCCGATGTGGGAAGCTGGGAGGGCTGCGGCTGCTCCGTGACTGAGCAAAGTGCTCAGAGCTCACTGCTCCAACCTCCTCACTTCGGTTAAAGCCAAAAGAGGAGAAGGTGGGGATTTCTTTCCCCGTGTGGTTGGTGTTTCCCAGGATTTGCTGTTTTCCTGCTGTGTTTGGAGCGGTTAATCCCGCAGGATGAGCGCCCGGAGCTGGGAATGCTCAGGGCTGCAGAAATCACCGGAGCTGGGAATGCTCAGAGCCACAGAAATCACAGGAGCTGGGAATGCTCAGGGCTGCAGAAATCACAGGAGCTGGGATGCTCAGAGCCACAGAAATCAGAAATCACCGGAGCTGGGAATGCTCAGAGCCACAGAAATCAGAAATGGCCGTGTCACGGCAGGCAGGGCAGGGCAGGGAGCAGCCGCATTTGGGGCACTGGATATCCCACAGCAAGGTACAGAATTCCCATGAGGATCCAGCACCCTTAAGGTTGTGTTTTGTTTAGTGGGGGACCCGAATTGGTGTTTATTTTCCCAGATTTCTCATTATTTTATCACCCAGAATGTCATGCAATCAGGTTTTTTTTGCCTGTAAACAATCAAAACATTTACAATATTTTTCCATTAGGCAACCAAGAACCGATCAAACTCTGACATGCTTTTAAATTGATCATAAAAGTAAATGTAATTGATATAAAACCGAATAATAAGCACTGATACATAACTTGGGTTTTTTCTTCCAGTGTGTATTTTCCTACTGTCCACTGCAAGTCAGGTTGGTGCATAAAAAGAGAAGATTCCTGTTAGCTAATTACTGATTTTGAGAGGAATCAGTCCAAAACTCTTCTATTTAAATGCTTGATATAAAATTGCTTTAATCCATTTGAAAGCCATCACTGTTGAATTGTTCTCCAAATGCTCCCTTTAAAAGATGATTAATTTAAACTCAGATCCTGCACAGAAACACGAGGCAGGTGGGCTCTGGCAAATCCAATTCCCTTGGATTCCGGAGTGCTGTGCTGGGGGTTGGATTTATTTGTCAAATATCAAACATTTATGAGCCCAGTGGTGGTATTTTTGAAGATAAGGAGTCATTAACTGTGCTGTGAAATCGATMCTTCCATCATCCTGACTCTGTCTTCGTGTGTGCTCATGCAGGATAAATATTATCCCTGCAAACATCAGGAACCTTTTGGAGTCCCCACAGCAAGGCACTGGAATTATTTTGGCTTAAAGATGKCTAAAGGATGATAGAGCATGTGGAGTTTGAGGGAAATACAGGAAAGGCAAACACTGGAGGCTACAGGAGTGGGAGTCTGGCTTTAAATTCAATTTTGTGAAGATTTATCCACTGGAATCTCATCCTGACAATGAAGCAACAGCTTCAGCCTGGATTACACAGGAGTTTGGCAGTACCAGGTTGAGGCGTGTGCTTCAAATCCAAAAATGACCTGGCTGACGGTAAAAATCCCAATGATTTTGATCCAAAATGGCTTTATTAAATCTCTTGGTTTAAGGAAGTTGATTTTTACCTTCCCCCCTTTTCATTATGAGCAGCTGCTCAAGCCTTGAATGAGGATGAACTATTTGCTTATGAGGATGAAATATTTGCTTATGAGGATGAAATATTTGTTTGTGAGGATGAAATATTTGCTTGTGCTTCTGCTTTCTTGTCCCATTTGCTCCGGCTCACACAGATCAGTCGGACTTCACAACAAAACTCGGAGGTCTCTGAGCATCCATTTGCTGAGCCCTTTGTTGGATTTTGTGCACGGTGCTCTCTCCTCGAGSTGGAGTGGAATCAGAGAGGTTGTGCTGAGATTCCTGGGGTCATAAACCTCAGAATGGGAGCCTGGGTGGAGATCAGGTCCGTGCAGAGGGAATTTCCAAGGTGAAAGCCATGAGGTTTCAGTGCAAACCCTGCTGGGCAGCAGCTCCGTGTTCTCTGCCGTCCATGGGATGAGGGCTGTCACATCTGGACAGGAACGCTTGGATTTGCTGGATTACAGCCCAATTCCAGCTGGCAGCACAAGGAGAAGATACCATTTGAATCACAGCACCCTGAATGCCACCCTTCCCTTTCTTTTCCAGCCAGGAAGATGTTTCAGGAGCCGTGGAGCAGATTCTGAGCGGCACCGAGGGCTCCCCACCATGACAGCGGCTCCAGCCGGTGCTTTGCTCATGAGACCCCTGCACTGGGTTTTTGTGTTCCTGCTGGGCTTTTCCCTGCTGAGCCTGTGGTACATCACGGTGTCCTCTCGCCTCGCCCTGGACCACACCAAYGTCATGTATTTCTACGAGTACGAGCCGGTGTACGAGCGGCGCCGGCCCTTCACGCTGCGCGAGCGCCACGGCTGCGCCGACGTCCAGCCCTTCCTGGTGATCCTGGTGGCCTCCAGCCCCGGGGACGTGCAGGCCAGGCAGGCCATCAGGGCCACCTGGGGCTCGCRGCGTTCCTGGCAGGGCCAGCGGGTGCTGACGCTGTTCCTGCTGGGGCGCGACGCGCGGCCCGAGGAGGCGGCGGCGCTGTCGGTGGAGGACGAGAGCGTTCTCTACGGGGACATCGTCCGCCAGGATTTCCTGGACACCTACGACAACCTCACCCTGAAGACCATCATGGCCTTCCAGTGGCTCTCTGAGTTCTGCTCCAGYGCCAGGTTCTTCATGAAGACCGATGTGGACAGCTTCATCAACACTCCCAACCTGGTGAAATTCCTGCTGCGGCTCAATTCCTCRGAAAATGTTTTCACGGGGTATCCCCACATCGATAACTTTGCCTACAGAGGCTTTGTCAGAAAAAGATACATTTCTTATGAGGAGTATCCCTTCAGGCTGTTTCCACCCTACTGCGGTGGSATGGGATACATTTTGGATGGAAAACTGGCCCGGAGGGTTTATGAGCTGATGGGCCACGTCAGACCCGTGAAATTCGAGGATGTTTACGTGGGAATTTGCTTAAATATACTCAAAGTCAACATTACTGTTCCAGAGGATGCAGAACAATTCTTTCTSTATMRAATCAACTTTGATATCTGTARGTTCAGACATTTGATTGTAGTTCAYGGCCTTACATCCAGTGAAATGATCCAGTTCTGGCACCATTTGTCATCCAACACCTCCCAGACTTGCCCTTGATTCTGGGTTCGTTTAGAATCTCAAATTTGGGGTAAAAGTGGGTTCAAGAGATGGCTTTGAGTGCTTTTCTCTAGGACACTCCAACGCTGTGAAATCAAAGCGGCAGGGATTCACCGAGCACTTTTCCAGGTGTGTATCCCACACCCAGGGGATATTCTGGGATGTGCTGTCCCCCTGTGCTCRSAGCAMCCCTGGGATTTYCCCTGCACCCTCGGGAAGCACAGAACCCCACTGAGGAGTGATGTCWGTGCCAAGGTACCACTTTGGATGGTGCTTCCCCAACCCCTGCCTGGACTGGTTTTCTCATTTGATTGCCATCTCCAATATTTTTTCTCTGCCCAGCAGGAAATTTAATCCAACCCAAGCTTTTTTTTTTCTTTGTAACCCTCCTGAGAGTGTCCCCTCTTGATATTTGAATGCATCACCTCCACAGCATTTCCAGGGGTGTTCCCAGCCTGGGGATCCCATGGGATTCTGCCAATGTGGTGCACTCTGTGTGTCTGTGTCCACATTAAATTGGCTTTGGTGTCTGCTGGAGTTCCCASACCAGGGCAGGGTTCTTGGTTTATCACATTCCAATTAAAGGAGGCCGATGTTTTCCAAGGGATCTTAATAAATCAAAAATATTTTTTAATTAGGTCTGAATATCTTGCAAATAAAATATTGCACTACGATCCAATCAAATCAAATTAATATTTGTCAAATGCCATTTGGCATTTCTCACCAAACAGCTCTGCTGCCTGGGATGRTTTCAGATGTGTGGAACCACCCTTGCCAAAGCTGTAAGGAGAAGATATTAAAATCCCAAACATTGTGATGCATCCCAGGAGTTTTGGAACCCTGCAGGAAAGATGAACCCAGAATCATTTCTATTATGGTTTATATCCGTTTCTAAATCATTTTTGTTCTGATTTTCAAATKCACAAAGGAAGAAATCCCCCCGTTTCCATTGGAAAGAAGAGCAGCTCCTCCCCGTGTGTAAAGACCTCTTTGTCATCACTTTATTCACATCAGCAAGGCCCAGTTTTCAGGAGTTTACACCTCGAATGGACAACGATACAGAATYTGCAATTGCATGAACAGAATTAACCTGGACATATCCACTACACGGGGGAGAGGCTGCGGGACACATCCCAGCTTTCCTTCTGGGGAATTCCCAGGGATTTCTGGAGCGTTCCCAGGGATTCCTGGTTCCCAGGGATTCCCAGTTCCCATCCCAGGGATTCTCACGGAATTCCCAGGGATTCCTGGGGTGTTCACAGGGATTCCCAGTTTCCATCCCATGGATTCCCAGGGTGTTCCCAGAGATTCTCGGGGCATTCCCAGGGATTCTCAGTTCCCATCCCAGGGATTCCTGGGGTGTTCCCAGGGATTCCCTGGATGTTCCCAGGGATTCTCAGTTGCCATCGCAGGGATTCCTGGTTCCCAGGATTCCTGGTTTCCATCCCAGGGATTCCTGGGGTGTTCCCAGGGATTCTCAGTTCCCAGGGATTCCCGAATTCCCAGTTCCCATCCCAGGGATTCTCATGGAATTCCCAGGGATTCCTGGTTCCCATCCCAAGGATTCCCAGGGTGTTCCCAGGGATTCCTGGGGCATTTCCAGGGTTTCCCGGTTCCCAGGGATTCTTGGTTCCCATCCCAGGGATTACTGGGGTGTTCCCAGGGATTCCTGGGGTGTTCACAGGGATTCCCAGTTTCCATCCCATGGATTCCCAGGGTGTTCCCAGAGATTCTCGGGGCATTCCCAGGGATTCTCAGTTCCCATCCCAGGGATTCCTGGGGTGTTCCCAGGGATTCCCTGGATGTTCCCAGGGATTCTCAGTTGCCATCGCAGGGATTCCTGGTTCCCAGGATTCCTGGTTTCCATCCCAGGGATTCCTGGGGTGTTCCCAGGGATTCTCAGTTCCCAGGGATTCCCGAATTCCCAGTTCCCATCCCAGGGATTCCCGGGGTGTTCCCAGGAATTCCTGGTTCCCATCCCAGGGGGTGCCCAAAGCTCCAGGGCCGCTGAGGTTCCCCCAGTGCCCTCAGCACTCCGGGCTTGTGGGCAGGGCTGGGTTTTGCTGCGGTTCGAGGATGGGATGGGGTTTTTTTAGGGATAAACACTTTTTTTAGGGACAACACTCTCTAGACAAGATGTCAATGTCCTAAGGGTGGATGTTAAGAAGGTGGGAGTTTTTTAAAAAATAAAGGCTTTGTTTTTTTTTTTTTGTTGGAAAAATACAGTATTGCATAACTGAGGGCGYGATGCTCTTGCATTGCCAGATCTGGGTGAAATTCCAGCTGTGCCASGGGATTGGATTGTTCTCTGAGCAGATCCTGAGAGCCCTGGGAGACAATTGCCTCATTCCACCATTTCTCACACATCTGAAACCCCAAACCCCTTTGTTTTTCTCCAAGCTTGCCATGGTAAATGCTCAGGAATAAATTATTTGCCCCAAGAACACCGAGACTCCGGTTTGTATTGCTTTTTCCCCCAAAAATGTAACGATGGCTCTGCAGCCTTCAGGAAATGGATAAAGCAAAGTGCTCGTGGTGAGGGAGGAATGAGAGTCACTAGAATTGAGGATGGATGGAAATTCTCCTGTCACCTGCAGGAATTGGGGGTTTTTGTGCCCCGAGTGCTGRCACTGCTGCCAGGTTACAGGGCTGAGGTTTTTACACACAGTGATCTCTTTGTGCCACCTGAAATGAATTGTCATCCACAGCAAAAACATCCATCCTGGTTTTCCTAAAACCCCCTCATTCCCAAATCTGGTTTGGTTTGGAGTCTGACCTATTATTGCTTAAAAAGGCTGTMAAATTCCTAACCAAGCTCCTGTTTCTGCCTAAAGCCGTTCTTGGGGAAGTTTTTAGTGTGAGCAGCCAGAAAAAAGGTGAAAAACTTCAAACCATGAAATAATCTGGGCATTGAAGTAGGGGGGGCCCAAATTTTACTGCACCTGCCTGGAATATTGTACTGAAAATGAACCCTAAAACACAGGCTAAAACTTTTCCAAATCCTAAGGTTTTTTTTTTTTTTTTAATTGTGCAGCAAATCCAATATTAAATCAGAATTCCAAATATTTGTGATCTTTATAGGAAAACTGTGGGGTTTTTTTTACTTGAAAAGCTGAATAATAATAATAACTTTAATTTTGATTTTAATTTTAATTTTAATAGTAATAAATTGGGCAAAGATGTTTGGAAATTGCTGCTGGGTGGGGAGCAAAAGTTAAGTGAAATGGGAAATTGGCAGTCTGGATATTATTTCAGAGGAGATAAAATGCTGCAATGTTTTGAGTGCATTCTGGAGCAATCAAATTCCCAACAAACCCTGAAGCAGATGTAGGGGCAGCATTCCACGTGGTCAGTATTCCCAGAATATCTGGAATATTTCCCGCAGTAACACAGCGGGTTGGGCACTGGGATTTGAATTCATTTATCCCAGGGGTTTAGAATTTCAGGGAATGCTGTGGGATTTGAGGGAATGCTGTGGGATTCCAGGGAATGCTGCTGGATTTCAGGGCCACTAGAAGGAGCCCCGGTGCCACCATCCCGGCTGTCCCCAGCTCCAAGGGAAAGGCTGGAGAAATTCCCCTTTTCCCAGMTGGATCCAGGCTGTGTCCTGAGAGGCACAATGGGAACATCTCCCATAAAGGAGATGGGGAAGGCAAACCCCACTCCCTGTGAGCCCTGCCCGGAGCTCAGCTCCCCCACAGCCATGCCATTCCCACTCCAGGATCCTGCATTCCCATGGAATTATCACCCACAGACTGCATTTCCCAGTGCTCTGACCTCAGATCCCATATCCCTGAAATAACTCTGCAATTATTAACATCAGATCCCTTCTCTCACTGAAATAATTCCGCAATTATTAACATCAGATTCCTTTTCCCACTGAAATAACTCCGTAATTATTAACATTTCCTGCTAGCTGCTCCATTTAACTGCCAGAATGCAGTTCAGAGTCACAGAATGTGCAGAGCTGGGGATGAAAATTGCCAGGAACCCTCCAGTCCGTGTGACAGGAGCTGTGCAGGCTCGGTCAGAGGGTGCTGGACACAGTGGATCTCCCCCGAGCCCGGGACGAGCAGAGGATGCCATGGGATCCAGACACGTTTTCCACAGCACTGGGAATCCCAGCAGAGCTGATTTAGGGCTGGGATAATCCCCCAAAATGAAAGGAGGGATGTTTGCTGGAGGAGACGTGACCTAGGGACAAAACTGAAAGGACAAAGATGGGAATTCCTTCTGGAGGAGGAATTTGTGCTCTTTGATTTCTGCCTTGAGAGACCCCAATCCCCTCAGCACCCCCAGCACAGCTCAACCTCACCCCAAACTCCTGATTTTTGCCTTGAGAGATCCCAAKCYCCTCAGCACCCCCAGCACAGCTCAGCCTCACCCCAAACTCCTGATTTCTGCCTTGAGAGATCCCAATCCCCTCAGCACCCCCAGCACAGCTCAGCCTCACCCCAAACTCCTGATTTTTGCCTTGAGAGATCCCAAGCTCCTTAGAACCCCCAGCACAGCTTAGCTCACCCCAGACCCTGCATGTGGGTGGGTGGTGGGTGCCAGGCAGCTGCCAAAGGAGGAAAATTGTATTGGTGTAAGGAACAGGCAGTGCCAGCTCACCCATCCCACCCCATCCCTGACCCTCCTCAGACCCACACCAGCACCCCAAAGGCTCCAGCAGATTGTCCAGGATCATGCTCTCKGGGAGATCCCGAGGATTTTGGTGAGGCAGGATCAGGATGAAGGAGCCACCCCAAATCCTGCTCTGTCCCTCTGCCCCTCRTGACACAGCTGGCTCCAGATGTGCAGCAAACTCCGACTGCCCTCGCTCCAACCTACAGCACTCACAGGTTCCAAAGGACAATTAAATACTGACAAATGGAGTTAGAGCTAAACAGACTTTTAAAATCTYGATTGAACACAACCTCTCATCTCTACAGTGCAACAATGCCTCTTGGCATCTCCACRTCATCCCAAAACCCGGCTCTGCCCCGGGATTAACACCACAAATCCRTCTGCAGTGGCACAAGGAAGTCTTTAACAGGCTCGACTTCCACCAGGGGAGCTCTGAGGTTTCTTGAGAGCCCTGCTCGGGTGAGTTCTCCAACAGTCACTAAGGAAATTCATCTTCTCTTGCATCACTTCCCAAGTCCATGCCGTAAAAATAAGGTCAGGGTGATTCTCGGCGAGCGACAGACATTCTGCTCTGCTCCCACCCAGGAGGTGTCAGAGCTCCCGGGGTTTTGCTGAAGTTCACCATTAGCTGGTTTGGATACAATATGGCCTAGAAGAACGGTTCTAGAGTAATGCACAGCCTGAATAAAGGTGGGAATTCAGGAGCTCTACCTACTCACATGCTTGGCAGGGGTTTATTTCGGGGGCAGGCCGGACGAAGCGAGAGCCAGCARTGGCAGCAGGCTGAGAGTTGGCTCCTCTTCCTCCTTCACACGAAACCCCGCTCTCCTCTGCACCCTCCTCGCTGCAGCTGAAGGGATGAGGAAGATGAGGGACACGGGAGCAGCTCCTGAGCAGCGCCGCCCACCAGGGAAAAGCAGCAGCAGCAGCAGCAGCAGCAGCGCCCTGCACACGGGAGGGAGGGAGGGCAGCGCCCTGACCCACAGTCTGCCCGGGATTCCGACACCAAAGTGGGGAACGGGAGCTTACAGAGGTTCCTATGGATCGGGGGGCGCGGGGCGGGCCGGGGGGCTCTGAGGCTCATGGTTGTATTGCTCCTTTGGTCGAGCCCAGGGCAGGAGCGGCTCCTCCCGTCCCTCAGAGCCCGGGGACGCTTCCCGCTGCGGCCGAGCCCCCAACGCTCCAGCAGCGCTCACTGCTGCTCCTCCGCCTTGCTGCTGTTCCTGAACTTCACCACCATGACGGTGATGTTGTCGGGGCAGCCCCGGTAGAAGGACTGCAGCACGATGCTCTTGGCGCCGAAGTGCGGCTCGTCCAGGCGCTCCTTGATGAAGCGCACGGCTTCCTCGTTGCTGAAGGCGTCCCACAGCCCGTCCGAGGCCAGGATCATGAAYTCGGGCTGCAGCTTGTCCAGGTCGAAGCTCAGGATGTCGGGGTCGGGGATGACCACGTTCAGGTTCTTCAGGGGGTAATCGCCCAGCGAGCGCGACATGGCCAGGATGCCCTGAACGCGCCACGAGCCGTTGAAGCTGATGAARCCACCTGAGGAGAGATGGAAACGCTTAGAGCAGCTCCTGCTGCTGGAAAACTGATCAGAATAAAATAAAATTATATAAATTTTGTCAGTGATTTTGTTTGCC